CATTTCCTCAAACATATCACAAACTCTCCCACCTGGACACCTTTGTTTATGCTGCCTGGAACGCTCCTCCTCCTCCTTGTTTCTGAAGAGCTGGCTCTAGCAGCACTTGCAGGTCTTTGCACTTGGCACCTTCTCAGAGACATGCCCTAAACACCCTAGATAGACATACCCCACATCCCCTACATAATCCCTGCTTTATTTTTCTCTAAGGGAGTATCTAACATGTTGTATATTTATTTTGTGTTTTATGTCTCCCCTACCAAAATACTGGCTCCTTGAGTGCACGGATATTTTTTCTGTTTGTTCACTATAGTGTCTACAATAGTAGACATCAAATATTAATAAATATTTTAGTGAATTAATGTCAACTCATCCTTGGGATCACATGTATTTTCAAATGGTTGAGGATAATCAAATCAGAATTTCAAGGAACCAAAAGCATTTTCTACAAAGCAGTATCTTCCTTCAAAAAGGGAGTCAGTTACACGAAATCCCAAATGGGGATACTCTTCAGGCTTCCTTCTTTCTGCGTAACCACAATGCTTAATTAATGGAACATATATTTATTCCACTTTAATCCTCATCTTCCTGAGTCTATTTTTCTATTCAGTCCTTCTAAACCCTGTGGTTTCTCATCATCTTCCCTGATTTATCCTACTGTAACCCTAATACTCCTCGGCCAGCCCAAATTCTTTCTTATTATTTACTCCAAATTTGGTAGAAGCTAAATAACAAAAAACATCCCCAGCTGGCATGAGATCAGAGGTGATAAGAATCTCCCAGCTTCTAAAAAAGCCAGGGAGTCACATATAAACCTCAAGTTCTGAAAAGGCTGGAAAAGGGAGTAGTACTAGTGAGTCTCAGATCATAAAACATAATTCCATAGCCTTCTCTTTCCTCCCATGTATTTCATGTTGACTGCAGCCTGATTTCTATCCGCGGCAGGATCCCAGCTTGCCACAAGCAGATTCACCACCGCTGGCTCAGAATCCTTTCCCTCACCCCATGTGTACCCAGGCAGTCAGGCCCATCTGAGTTCCTGGGTTAGTGCCAACAGAGTCGTGGTTTCTACAACTAGCCTTGACCACTACCTGCCCTGCCCCCAACCCCTCAATTCCCAGTTTTTTCCAACTCCCTGGGGCCTGAAATTAATCAGCCATGGCTGGCCCTTAGATCTCCTTACTCTTAACCAGACCTAGGATTGGGGGGTGTGGAGGACGGGCTGTCTGTGATATCCTACGTGCAGCTATGTTGCAGAACAACATTTATCTGCTGCATGGCAATGAGGATGGCTCACCACCTCAGTGCTAATCACACGGCCTATTTCTGTAGTCTCTACTTATAAGACTGAACTTGACAGGTTGTCTGGGTTTCTGGTACTTAGTTCCCAGTCTCACTTTGACTGATTACCTTCCCTAGATTCATCATGCACTTAGTCTATGTCCATTCATATCCCAAAATGATGGTCACCATTCACATAGTTCCAGAGCATCTGGCCATGCCACCATTTCCCTGACGAGATCCCCTTGAGCTACCTGCTTTGAAAATTACAGTGTGATGAACAACACCTATCAATATAGCAGAAGGGATACGTTAGAGATAATAACAATGATGTTAGAGGAAAAAAACAGCATGAGAAAATGTTCATGATACAATGTCAAATTAATAAAACAGGTTATGAAACAGATATTCATCGTGCTGAAACAAAAACAAAACTGAAGCAGGACTGAGACGGTTTCCCACCCTAGCAAGACTGCCAAGTCACTCTCTGTAATGCCAGCATGTAGCCAGGGCCCTTTCACCTTCACTCCCACCCACACATCCACCTTGCCTCGGAGTGGGTCTGTGTCATACTTTCTAGTTTCAACATGTTCCCAGCTCCTCACAAGCTTTGGCCTAGCAAGAGCACACGTCCCTATGTCCACATCTCTGTTCACCCCTTACCATTTCCGCATAGTCTGGCTAAACTCATTTGCCTCAGTCTGCAAGGTGGGGGAGGAGCTGGAGAGGAGCCACACAGGTGCACAGGTGACAGGTAATCCATGCACAAGCTCTGTGGCGAGCTGGAGAAGAAGCCACTGAGGGTGCTGCCCAAGAACAAGGAGGGCTGCTGTCTCCAGGCCACACAGGCAGTTCACAACAGCATTTATTTACTCATGATGTATGCAGACTATACAGCAGTGCTGGCTTTACCTGACTCATCACCTTATAGACAGCGGAGCTGTGAAGGAAAACGTCAATGTGCCTGTGATGCCAGTGGCCAAGGCTACTCAACGAGCACTGCTCTCTTAGGCCTTGTTTCAAATGAAAGAAAAACAGAAATTCTGAAGGAAATGAACTAATAATGATAAGCATTTTATTCTCCCTGTTGGCCAAACTCTATAAATACACTCTGTTGTATAAAAACACTAGGCTCTTGATCCTTCTAAAATCTGAACTATTTGAGGATAAGGCCTGAGTAAACACAGACTATGCTTTGCTTTATTTCAGTTCAATCCAGCAAACTGCAGTTGGCCCTTCCAAAATGCCAGATGGAAAAAAAAAAAAATAGAGCACTGATTTTTCAGCTCCTTTTATTTTTCTTCTCAGTCTTCTTTCTGTTTTCACTTTTGCTTTGCCTCTGGGTGCTTTCTGCTCCCAGGTTTGTATTGTCACTTCCATTTCTGACTTTAAAATGTGGTTTGGATGGACTTACCTGATTTCGTCCTGGCATTTGCCCAGTCCTCCTGCCTATATGATGGGAGCCACCGGTTTTCACTGACGCTGTGAACTTCTGCCTCCAAAAAGGGCTGCCCTTAAATATAATGCCTGGTTCCCTCAAGCACCCTATTCTCAAGGCACCACTTTTACACCTTCTGTTTGTTTACCATGGAGACAGCAGTTTGGGTAATATCTGTTTACTCTGGAGCCGGGAGAACGCTGGCTACGGTGATGCTCGGGAGAAAACACTAGCAGCTATTTACATGCTCCACAAAGAAGCGGCATGTAATGAGCATCAAATGTGTGAAAATCTATAAGGCACAAGAATCTATAAGGCACAGATTCCCTCCTGAACATGATATGAACACATAATCAGAGAAAAGTAATAGCCAGGTCTTAGAAATCTGGTATCAACTACACATAAAGGGAAATTCTGATTAACAGTTTTCAACTCCAGCCAATGTGGTCTACTATAATGACTCTCAATAATTCTTAAAGCATTACATAAAAAAAAAAAAAAAAAAAAGGTGGAGATTTAGCTTAAGAGTCTCCTTCCAGCTTGGGTATTCTCAAGATTCGTTGTTAAAAACCAGTCTCCCGACAGGGTAAATGTATTCTGTGAGCCTGAGTTCTACCCTAGTCATTCTAGCTTAGACTAGCCAGTCTTCAAACGTTGAAAATGAAAGCGTGGGAGTCAAGAAGTTAATGCTGAAGGTGGAGGAAGATGACCAGCACATCTGTACTGTCTGTGGCAAAGACACTGCCAGGAATGCCCATCTCCATAACAATATACCAAAATCTGTCCTTGAGGAAAATACTGTTATTTTTACATAGGGATTTGGTGTGAACTATGTATGTGTTTAACCAGGCACACCGACACCTTGCTGCACACAGCTCTTTTTAGATTAGTTATGTTGCTGAAAGATATGTTGCTTTTAACAAAAAGCAGTTAAAAAAATAAAACAAAAAAAGGGGCGGCTCCATGAGTTTGTACCAGTATCATCATGCTCAAATGTGAAATGTCTGTGTCAATTCTGCTTTTGGGCTCTAACTGCAAAAATCAGAAACTGCTTTGCTACTTTAAGATGCAGGAATATTGGTGAGCATTCACAATTTTCCTTTACTGAAAATTGTACTGACTATAATAGGAAAGTCATTGAATACTATGTCTTTCTATTATATCCAGGTGATTTTCACAGTAGGCAATCTGCTAGTGCACCACAGGAGTCCCACACTTTGAAATAAAATGGCATCGTGGATATAGTTTTATGAGCTATCCCTTTTCAGTCCAGAGCACTGTCTAGTTTCTTTACTCTTGGTTGAACTGAGTGGGCAATCCATTAAGAGTAAGTGAGAAGAGAAAAAGCACATACGAAGTTCTTTTTTTTTTCCTTTATCAATAATACAATTGTGCTCTGCCAATTACTGGAGTAGAAACTGTATATCACACTTTGAAAATAAACCAAAAAAGACTTCTGCGTTCCTAACGTGATAAACAGGCCATTTGCAACAGGGACAAAAACCAGTAAATCTAAGTGGATCCTGGCATGTTTTTCCTACACATCTGGTACAATAATATGGTACATGAGTCAGAGAAACACTACTTCTCATCCCCCTCTCTCCAAATGAGCCTAATATAAAACCTATTTAGTGAGGACATTTTGCACAAGGCATCCTATGTGCTTAATTTTCTTTAAAACAAGGCATTAATAAAATCACAGTAACATCTAATAAGATTTTTAATTCCTTAAGGGCAGGAACCATGGCTGATCTTTAATGAGTCTAATTTAGTGGGAGCATTCAGTTCCTCTCTTCTTGGAACAACCAATAGAATATTCCTAGCTCTACAAGATACATGAGGGTTATACTGCAGACAGCTCCAGAATGAAAGGGAAAGTAAACTGTGTCCACCACCACTGACTGGCACTTGTCTGTGTACCTGTGTGTGCTCAATAAAGACTCATTTCCAGAGTTACTAACTGCAGAAGCTGATAGCAACCGTGTCAAAGAATGAAGTAAGAGTTTGGAAACACGTTGCTATTTTACTGCTGAATGAGTTCCCATTTGCAATTACATGAGCAGTATGAAGAATAAGCATATGGAGCATGATGCTGAGACACTGAAGTTCAGTCACCTGTTCCCCAGAGACACCGAGCTTTGAGCACACAGTCACTGCCACAGGATCTACGCCAGATCTACAGCCACTGAAGGAATGAATTCATAAAAAAATCTTTATCCCCCATTTTGCGAAAATCTCTTAACTGACCAATACAAATTGAAGAAAAAGTAGTAGTACTCACAAACTCCGGGGTTCGAAAATCATGCTGACTTTCCAGTGATCCACAATTGGGGACGATTGTCTGTTCAAGGTTTTCCAACACTAAAAATAAATGAATGAATGAATAAATAAATGAAGCACAAACTTTCACTGGCTAATATACTCCTCTGCTTTTAAATCAGTAGCACTGGGTTAAAAACTACATACAGCATTTGTGGCACGTTTGCAGGTTTACATTATTTAACACTGCCAGCTATCAGGAATACTCAAAATCTTCAGCAGTTGTTTTAACCACCACTGGACAATGTCATGCTTGTAGGATATCGGGTCTTAAAATTCTCTAGGCTAGGTCTACCATGGAAAATCATTTAGCTTCTACACAGCAACTAAATGTTATAAAATTCAGGCTAAGTTACACTGTAGCTTACTGATGTTCTTATTTGTTACATCTTAGGGTACTGATGTGGAGTCATTTGGAGGTAGCAATTTTCTGTTTTAGAATCTGTTAGAACAGTAGCATCTAATAGAATATAAAGGAAGCCACATAAAATTTTCTAGTAGCTTCATTTAAAAAAATAATAAACAGGTAAAATTAATTGTAATAACAATTTATTTAGCCTGTAATACCCAAATTAGCACTGGAACATGTAATCAATATAAAAAATGAGTGAAATATTTTGCTTTTTTGTACTAAGTCTTAGAAATTCAGTGTGTATTTTAAACTCATAGTACATCTCAATTCAGACTAGCTACATTTTAGAAGCTCAATAGTCATATGTGATTAGTGGCTATTATATTGGAGAAGTCTAGTGTTAAAGGGATAGAGAAACCAAATCCAGAAGGTAGGACATTCTGCAAGATGCTAGTCCTGTCTTGTCAACAATTTACTGACATGAATGAAAGGAATTGTTCTAGGTTAAAAGATACTGAGAGAACCAATCATTTGTAGTGTGTGGTTCTGGGTTTGATCCCGGTTTAAACAAATCAGATATAAAGGATTGTTTCCCTAATTCAAATTGGGGACATTTGAATATAATTTTTGCTTTGTAGGAAAATATTCTTAAACAAATGTAAGAGAGTCTTAAATATTTAAATAAGTTTAAATAAAGATTATTTAATGTTTAAATAAATATCCATATTTATCTACAGGTCCAGTCTCTTCAATAAATCAATGATATGAAGAAGACCTTAGTTAAAGATGTAAAGAGCCCCAAGGGACATAAACAATTAGCAATATATGGTCCTCAACTGGATCCTAACTTGGATAAACCAGCTGTAAAGGACTTATTTTTCAAACTGAAGAGTTTGACTATGGAATAATTATTAAATCATAAGAAATTACTTTTGATTTTATTGTGATGTTATCTTGGATTTGTAGTGAGTTTTGAAATGCATACTAATTTTTTAAAAATCCATTAAAGGCTTTTGTGAAAGAGAAGGCTAGGTTCCTTTCCATCCCCAAAAATTCCTTTCAGGAATGGCCCAACAGAAAAAAATCTCAACAAATATAGGGGCAATTCCTAAGAGCTCTCTAAGTGATCATTGATAAAACCAAAACATCAGCCAACAATTCAGCCAATTTAGTTGCCAAATTGGTTTAGCACTTCACTAAGAAATCTCCCAATATTTGGATTAGATTTTAGGTTCATGCAAAATCTAGGAAAAAAATATCTTTATTTGTTCACTTAACTCACATCTTTGTACACTTATGACCTGAAAAGAAATGCCAGTAGAAATGACAGCACAAACAAATGATTCTAACTCTGAGTTCATCAGAGGAACTGTGACTCAAAGCAGGAACAGGAACCAGATGAGGTGAGAAAAGGCTTGCAGAGCTGCCACAAAAGCCGAAATTAAGGGGTGCTTGCCTCTGAGAACTAAAGGAGGGCTACAGCAATCACTGCGGGTCTGTTACACTTAGAGAGCTGTCATAGAATAAACTGGTTATTCCAATATCAGAACAACAGTTGTCCAAGATAATTACATTCCTGCAGACCACCTTTAAAACTTGCTAAGATGTGTGAGAAGAGTGCTCTAAGTTGGCGTTGTGCAGACGGGTTTACATCTGGAAGAAAAGACCTAACCTTTTTATGATATTGAGATCGATACTGAAGAAATTATATCTATGGTATTTATGGTATATTGTTTTTTGGCAGACGCAGCAAACAATGAAACCTAATAGTGCATTTTTTTTACATGAGTATTATAAATATGATGGAGAGACTTGACTTGATGTCTTATCTAGATTTGTATATGATTAGATGCTTGGTTTATCTATTACAATAAATCTGATGCCTAATTTATCTAGTATGATAAATCTGAGGACAACAGATGGGACTGTGCTGGTATAGTTGATTTTTCTCTTTTTTTTTTTTTTGAAATGAAAAAACAGGCTTTAGTGTGCATTTTGCCTAAAGACAGAAAAGAAGCAAGATGTATTTACCCAGATGTTCTATCAAATTAAAGGTATCTATATGCAGCTTGAAAGGGTTTTGAGAGAAACTACAGAATTATTTATAGTTTTGGTTGTTCTGCTGGTAATGGAAACTAATAGATACACTGGTAAATGTCAATACAAAGGAGAAACTGCAAATTTGAGTGAATAAAAACAGAAATGGCTTTTTTGAAACATCATCTAGGGAGAACAAAGCCGCAGCTGTTGCTCTCATGACCTAATATAGTACTGAGAGGCAAATGATTTATGATGCTAATATGGTAATTATACTTCCACTACTGAGGGGCTCCAGCTATCATTTTGATGTTCTCATTTCTGGTAAGCTAACACAGCTGAAAAAGTTCATTTCTGAGCAGAAATAAAAGAGTCAAAATCAAGGCAACACTTTGCGGGCTTTTTATTAAAATGGGTAAGAATTGGGGAGAAAATTCTGAAAGGGCAAAAATGTTAATTTTCTTTCTTTATAAAAATCATGTTTTCCTTAATGTAATATTTTGAAATGTACTTTTAGTACTGTCACTGTGCCTCGTTTTATACAACAAAGGTACTACTTTGAATGGTACCATGATTAGTTCATTTAATTTTGGCACTTGAAACATAAAAAGTATATGGAACCTCTATGTTATTTCTTCATCAAAAGGCTGAGCAGAGAACTAAAAACTAGTTATTCTAATATGAAAAAAACTTTGATCTTGACATGTCAATGGAATTTTGTATGGATGCAAAATGAAAGGGCAGTTGAAAGTCAGGTTCAAATGCTCAAATCCTATTTTATATTTTGCACAGACATTGTGTTGTAAGACCCTACGGATACCAAGAACAACCAAATGACATTCCCTCTTCTTGAGGAAAGAAATCCAAGACATGATTAACGTTAATTGTGGCATCATTTGTAAGTGCCAAGCTAGACAGATTTATGGAGCACTGTAATAATACTATCAACTGGATTACTATAGTTATCATATAACAGTTAGTAAAAGAAAGAAAGAGCACGTTTTTTAAAACTATCAATGTAGTTAGTACAGTGAAATTGAAGCAATAAAGTCCTTGGTGGTACTAACACTGACTTATTTGGCAGTCCAAAATGAAGGGCCCAAAAGAAGTATCTAGAGGCCCAGTCATATAAGAACAGCACAAAGGGTTAATACCAGCACACAGGAAGCCTCACCAGAGAGGTGCAGTTCACATGATTACTTGCTTAGCATTTAGAAATGGAGTAACTAATACTTATCCCAACTGTAAGCTGATTGAGACATATAAACTGGCTAATAAAAATAACCATTATCTATAATTTTATAACTTAATCCGTTATCTATCAGAAAACACACAATAACCTCTCAGGAAATTCATAGGTCAAAACCAAAATGTCTGATAAGCAGTGTCCTAGGAATACAGATAATCGAATCAGGCATACACTTTATCTGATGTACAGCACCAGCATGGCAGGTGGCTGGGTCCAACTGACTCATTTATTATGGGGATTGGTTGCCATTGAAATTTATCAGAGACAAAGTGAACATATGGAAGACAGTGGGTACAAATATATCAGGGCCTTGTACAAAGGGCAGTGAGGGGATTGACTGGGTTCAAATTCTGCTTCTGCAATTTCTTAGCTGCGTGATTGTGGGCAATACATATTCTCATTTTATTTATATAAAGCTGGTGACAACATTACTTTCCCTGGTTATCTCACAAAGTTAAGCAAAGATACAAATGACAATTCAAAAGCATGATGTAAAAAAAAAATAAAGCACTATAAACATATAAATTAAGTTCATGTACACAGACTCAATGATGTGAGGAAATAAATGAAAATTTACTGAGTGTATTATTTTGTGTCTGGCACTTCTAAACATCTGATCTTATTTAATCCCATTTTGTCCCCGTTTTCACAGATGATGAATAATTCAAGGTTGTTAGTTGCCTGAAGTCAACTACTAGAAGTGACAATGAGAATCTGAACCTGTCTGATTCCAAACTTGGACATCTTTTTGAATACAATAATTTGTCTCCTGGGCTGCTGTGAATAATACAAGGGCTCCCTGATGTTAAATACAAGTTGATAAAAAATTAAAATAGCATTGTAAGTATAAATCAAAAAAATTAGCAAATAACTGCTTCAGTATATAGTGAGACAGAGATGTAACAGCCTAACACATTTTGGAAAACAAAGGATAAAAATAACAATGCAGTGGAACTTACTGATACAGCAATCACAATTAGAAGAACTAATGGAAAAGCTTCACAAAATAAACAAACAGATAAAATATTCTGGCAAGTGGCTAAAGACATTCATGTGCCAGGGATGGAGCTAGATGATAGGAGTATAAATACCAAGATGAAGACAGTACAGAAACTATCCTCAGGAATTCCATGATCTAGTGAATGTTCAACTAAAGGAATGTCAAAGGAATGGCCCATATCACCTTGGGAATGAGGATATGTTCACATATCCAGATTGGGTAGGATGTTTAGTGATCTGCCAGGCTGTCTTGTACCTGAAACTCTCTTCTCCCATTTGACAGAAGCCTCTGAAATCTGGATGTCAGCATGCATTTGATGCTTGGCCTGAACACTAGCACTTACCAGTCACTATTCTAAAAGCAATCACACACTGGGGCCAGAATTTCCTGTCGCTGTATGCTTCCAGGATGTCATGCTGGGCCTGCCCAGTCTCATTCCCAACATCACTTACAGCTGAGCCCCCTAACCCCAGCCCCCACATCATCCTGTGGTGGTTATATTTGGCCTCCAGGTTCCAATATCTCATTTTCTGGCCTTAGTTTGTTTAATAGGATTTACTAGTTTTGGTGACAATTAGGTGAGAGAAATCCTACTTTCCATATTATTAAGAGGTTATAAGCCTGCAGATTACAGGCCTTGTGGTACTACAATGAGATTTTGAGATAGAGCCACAGAGTCATTACTAATGCAAAGAATGTTAATAATAAAACATAAAACACAAAGACAGGAGCATTTCTATCAGGCATATGACTGACAGCTGGTTTTACCACACAGGGCACTGGACCTGAATCTTAACACCACTACACGGTCTCCCCTGTGGCTCAGGCACATTGCTTGACCCTAATTCTCAGTTTCCCCATCAATAAAATGTAGAGTGAGGATAAATGAGAAGAAACTAACTGGTGTATATATAAAAGGAACTTGAAAACTGTTAAGTACTATATAAATACTATCTACATCATTATTTTTACTTCAATCTTTAAGTTTTGGCACCATTACCCTTGTTAGGCACCAATTTTTCCTTCTGACTTTCACCTTGACTATCTCTATTATTCATTCCTTTTTTTTTTTTGGAAGCCAGAGTCTCACTCTGTTGCCCCAGCTAGAGTGCAGTGGCATTGTCATAAATCACTGCAACCTCAAATTCCTGGGCTCAAGCTATCCTCTTGCCTCAGCCTACCGAGTAGCTAAGACTACAGGCACACATTATCACACCCGGCTAATTTTTCTGTTTTTTGTAAAGACGAGGTGGGGTCTTGAACTCCTGAGCTCAAGCGATCCTCCTGCCTTGGCCTCCCAGAGTGCTAGGATTTCAGGCATGAGCCACGGTGCCTGGCTGATTCCACTTCAAATATCAAAATGAATTTAAGCATAAAACAGTTAACATTAATTCAGCAAATATATTTTTTTTTTTTTGAGACAGAGTCTCACTTTGTTGCCCAGGCTAGAGTGAGTGCCATGGCGTCAGCCTAGCTCACAGCAACCTCAGACTCCTGGGCTCAGGAGATCCTTCTGCCTCAACCTCCCGAGTAGCTGGAACTACAGGCATGCACCACCATACCCGGCTAATTTTTTCTATATATATTAATTGGCCAATTAATTTCTTTCTACTTATAGTAGAGACGGGGTCTCGCTCTTGCTCAGGCTGGTTTCGAACTCCTGACCTTGAGCAATCTGCCTGCCTCGGCCTCCCAGAGTGCTAGGATTACAGGCATGAGCCACCCGGCCTCAGCAAATATTTTTGAATGACTATGATGTCCTAAGCAGTGTTGGCTACTTCTTTTAAACGAAAAAAAAAATGTAAATCAGGAAATGCCTTTCCTCACTTTTCTCAATCTGAGTGGATCAATCTCTTATCCTAGTTACTGGCACGTAAATTCAATGACTGTAATATTTAAACAAAAAAATGTGGCATCTCTTCTAATCATTTCTGGAATGCAAATTCCAAATTCAAATTGGTAGTTTCTATTACAGTTGTCTTTCCCATTTTAAGATGAGAGCTTTCCCTCTCACCCTCTCCTCCCCCTTTTCTCAGCAGAGATAATTCTACAATTATCATTCCCACTTCAGCTACTGTTTCTGACAGGAAGAAGGAAAACAGGTCATTCGTGAAGATGTAAACTCTGTCAGGGTCAGGAAATTTTTGATTCATGGGTGGGGCCCAGTACTATACATTCAGCAATTTAGAAAATTAATAACGATTCTCCCTGTATTATGGTAAAAACTACCTTTCCCTAAAGGTTCCCCCTGTTGTGCTTCCTTTCCTGAAGAATGTATTATCATCAATTCAATCTGCCAAGCCAGAAACTGGAGCCATTCTTACCTTTTCTCTTTCCTTCATGCTCGACATTTGGTCAGTCATCCAATTTTATCCTTTTTGCTTTCAACCTCATCCTAAGTTTCTTATATCTGAAATGCACCTCTCTTCAAATTTTTATTTCAATGTCACTGTTTTAAGTGCCAGGTTACGTTATTGGCCTCAGCTTCATGCTCCTACAGCACTTTGCATATCTAGTAAAACCTACCACGCCACTATGGGCGGGGTCTAAAAACTCAATCATTGCATTATTAGCTATTAAAATGGTATTTTTCAGTTTTGGTCTTCCACTTAGAGTGTAGGAAAGAAAAAAAGAGTGATTATTACAAACAAAATTTGCAGCCTACAGTGAACAGAGTCCCAAATTATCACAAGGTAGTTAGTTTTTCATAATTGCCCGCCACTCCAGAAGATAAAATCTGGGAAAAGGATAGGTGTTGATCTCTCTTATCACACTGTGTGGTCATTATTTGTATTTCTTTTCCACTTGTCTGTGAGCTCCCAGAGGGCAAGCTACTGCCTTACCCAACTTTGTACCCCCAGAACTTGAAACAATACCTTGCATATTATAGATGTTTGATAAAAGAACGAGCAAATGAACAAATGATGGAATGAATTATAAACTGTCACTCCAGTAAAGTCACTAGTGCTCTTACTTCTTCAGAATGTAATTTAATTGCCTACATAATAAGAGAGTTTTTCTATTTCTAGAAACATACTGCATCGGGCAACCTGAGATAGATGCACACACAAAGCAGGCTAATGATATAGTGTCCCTTCAAGACAATACTCTTCAAATATTAGAACAACATCTAATTAATCTAAGACGGAGGGGCTCAGCCTCCACTCCACTGTGCCCATTGCTCCAGCAACTCACCGAACAGAAACATGCTCCTACCAGCAGCACAAAACATTCCACAGCAGAACAAAAGAGAGACGAACAGTTTGGCGAGTCCCTGGGCATCTAACCCTTCTAGCCCTACCTTAAGTGACAACTCTGAGGATTTCTTTCATCCACAAATAGCAATACTCCTGAGAAGAGCTTCCATAAGCACAATTCCTCTGCCTTGTTTCATTTCCATGTTTAGTGTTATTTCGGCTCCTCTTATAAACTGTCTTTCCCTATTCCCACAATCCTCCTCTGCCCCAATAATTCAGTTCTAAAAATATAACTAGAAGTTAAACATGTCTCCTTTTGAATTGCTGAAAGCAACCATCACATTATTCATTCCTCAACCAGGTTAGCTAATACTTTCACAGAAAAACCCAATGCGTATTGTAAACCTATTGGATTCACATTGAATTCATTAATTCATTTACCATCTTTAAAAAATGTTTAATTGCAGTAACATATATATAACAAAATTTGCCATTTTAACCACTTTAGGTGTACAGTTTGGTGGCATTAATTTCATTCACAATGTTGTACAAGCATCATTATTATTTCCAAAACTTTTTTTGATTACACTAGAGACTAACCATCAAGCATAATTCCCCATTTTCCCTTCCCCCCAGTCCCTGGTAATCTTAATCTTTTTTCTGTCTCTGTGAATTTGCCTATTCTAGATATTTCACATAAGTAGAATCATAAAATATGTGTCCTTTTGTTTCTGGTTTATTTCACTTAGCATAATGTTTTCAAGATATCCACATTGTAGCATATATCAGAATTTCGCTCTTTTTTATAACTGAATAATATTCCATTGTATGAATTACACCATACTGTGCTTATCAATTCATCTGTTGATGGATGCATGAGTTATTTCCACCTTTTGGCTATCATGAATAATGCTATGATGAACACTGGCATACAAGTATCTGAGTCCCTGTTTTCAACTCTTTGGGAGTATACCTAGAAGTGGAATTATTGGGTCATATGGTAATTTCCTGTTTAGCTTTTTTAAAAAATTAGGAAAATGTTTTCCACAGCAGCTACATCATACATCATCAGCAGTGTACAAGGGTTCCAATTTCTCCACGTCTTCACAAACAACTTGCTATTTTCTATTTGCTTTTTTTTTTAATACCAGCTATTCTCATTCTGATAGGTGTGAAGTGATATTGTGGTTTGATTTACATTTGTCTAATGACAAATGATGTTAAGCACTCCTTCATGTGCTACTGGCCATCTGTATACTTTCTGTGGAGAAATATCTTTTCGAGTCCTTTGTCCATTTTTCAATTGAGTTGTCTGTCTTTTTTTGTTGTTGAGTACAGGAGTTCTTTATATATTCTGGCTATTAGAGACTTATTCAGACACATGATTTCCACATATTTCTCCCATCCTGTAAGTTATATTTTCACTTTCTTGATAATATCTCTTGATGTACAAAAGGTTTTAATTTTGATAAAGTTAAATTTATCTATTTTTAATTCTTTTTTTGCCTAGGCTTTTGGTGTCATAGCTAAGAACCCACTGCCAAATCCAAGGCCATGAAGACGTACCTCTATGTTTTCTTCTAAGAATTTTATGGTCTTAGCTCTTGTATTTAGGTTGTTGATCCATTTCGGGTTAAGTTTTATATATGATGTGAGGTAGGGATTAGATTTCATTATTTTTGCATGTGGAAATCCAGTTGTCACAGCACCATTTCCAGATGAGACTCTTCTTTCCTCATTGACTGTACTTGGCACCCTTTTCAAAAAATCAACTGGCCATAGATGTATGGATTTATTTCTGGACTCTCAATTCTATTCCACTGGTCTACATATCTATCCATATGCCAGGACCACACTTTTTGATTAGTGTAGCTTTATAGTAAGTTTTGAAATCAGAACATATGAGTCCTCCAACTTTGTTCTTTTTCAAAATTGCTTTGGCTATTTGGTGCCCCTTGCAATTTCATATGAAATTGAGGATCAATTTTTCCATTCCTGCAACCTTTACCATTTAATAAACAGATGTTTAAAAATTTATATTTAATATTAAAAATAATCACATACCAGTAGAGTGATGTCATTTAGTTTTTCCAATTGGGTATTGATTTTAAAAGCTTGGCTTCACAGTTGATATTCTATGAAGGACAAATGACACTAATTTTAGAAACACGCCCCAATAACATCTTGGAAAGCCATCACTACTGCTTCACAGTCCAACTGGTTCAGGTTTCCTAAGACCCTCAGGCTTCCCAGTTGAACATTATCCTGAGTTTGTAATTGACTATGGCTCAACTGAAACTTGGCTGTAATCACTGACCTGTCAGTTCCCAGATTATAAGGATTGTACATGTCCTGGGTATGAAAGAAGACACCACTCTTAAATTCTTATTGTCTTTAAATTCAAAGCACATCAGTCATAACTCCATGCTTACCCAACCAGAGCAGGCTTGATTTCAAAACCAGTTTTTGCAGCCTATGAGGAATGAGAACATAGAAATAAAAGAGAAAGAACACTATAGGTCCACATTCTCTTCTCTTTGATGCCAAAACCTTGTGTTTCAGAATTCAGAATTTTTCAGAATTAAAAAAAAATAATAATTCTTACATATATATTGTCTCACTTACGAAGGCACTCCCCATGGGGTCTGGAAACAGCACCCCTTACTCAAACACATTCAGATTTTGTAGCCAAACATATGAATATTCACTCTGAGGGGGATAAATAAAAAATATAAATAGTTTTGTGTTGGCTGAAGTCAGATTTCTTCATCAAAGAGTTCAGCTGTATCAGGTTTTATAACCAAATGAATTCCAAAAGATATTTTTTTCAGGCTTCTTTGGATGTCTGAATTGTAAGGAATTGAGAACCTGTAACAACAACTAAGAATGTATTTAACACCCAATAACAGAAGAACTCAAAACTCCTTTACAGCAGCTTGTCATATACACACACAGCAAAGGACTAGCCAATTACTTCAGAACAAAAGACCAATCAACTGGAAGAAGGAAGGACTCCATAGATTGTCATCTCCTTTCATGATCTCACGAGTTAAATATTTACCAAATCAGTATTTCCCCCCAGTAATCATCTACAAATAAACTCTAACTGAGAAAGTGAATCCTAAATTTGGATGAAAGGAAAATCAGAATTGATATACTATTTTTAATTATCAAATTAACAAAAAATAATTATTAATACTTAATATTAGCAAAGGTGCTGGGAATACACACACCTATTGGCAGTGTCAGGTGGTATGAACTTTCTAGGTGGCAACTTGGTAAGCATAGCAAAAGTTTTAAAATTAGTCTTGCCCTTTGTTCTTATAGTTCTCCTTCTAGGAAAGAATACTTGATTGTTTAAGTCAATTAGGCTATAGCTATATGATAGTATGTAATGCAAATATTTAAAATAATTTACAAAAGGATATTCATGACACAGAAAATTTCAGCAATATATCTCAATGTGAAAAAAATCAATTATAAAATTCTATATAGTATATATCCAAAAGAAGTAAACGCAGGAACTCAAACAGATATTTGCACACCCACATTCATAGCATTATTATTTACAATAACCAAAGCTGGACACAATCCAAGTGTCCAGTGACAGATGAATGGATGAAACAACCATACAACAGATTATTATTCAGCCTTAAAAAGGAAGAAAATTCTGACATATGCTCCTTCATGAATCCATCTTGAAGGCATTATGCTAGGTAAAATAAGCCAGTCACAAAAGGACAAATGTATGACTCCATTTATGTGTGGTACCTAGAGGAGTCACATTCATAGACAGAAAATAGAATGGTTGCCAGGAGAAGGAGGAATGGGAAGTTATTGTTTAATGGGCACTGTTCCCGTTTTGCAATATACAAAAGAGAGGACTCTCCTGATGCCAGGGCTTTTATCACCTGGCCTATGTTTTCACTGTTCTCTTTGCCATGAGCCATTTTCCAATAAACTAAAGAGTATATAATTTAAACAAAACAAAACCAAACCTATATTATTGTATGATCTAAGACTTGTGTGGGAGTGAAAATAAATTTAAGCAAAAGGCTTTTTCCTAATTTTCCTAATACTTGTCTATGTTTTCTAAATTTAGACCCAAATTAATTACTGGAATCATCCCTGACTCCTTTCCCTTATCCTCCCTCATCCAATTCCTCAATTAAGTCCTATCAGCTGAGTTTTCAAACTCTACCAGAAACCAGCTACTTCTCACCACTCCCATGGGCCTAGATAATAATAGCTAACACTCAACGGGTACTTAATATATTCCAGTGCCCGTTTCATATGCGTGTTCTTTCCATATTTACTTCACCCTCACAATAACCCTAAGAAGGATAAGTACTATATTTACCTTTACACCATTTGATGAAGAGGCACAGAGAAGTCAAGGATTTTGCCCAAGATCACACAGCTAATAAGCAGTAGAATCAGAACTTGAACCCAGGAGTGCATAACTTACGCTTTAACCACTATATTACTCTGCCCCTTGGGCTTAGGTAGCTTGTTCTCTCCCATTATTCAGCTCTCTTTTCAGAATCCATGACTCAGAGTGGCTGTCCCTGAAATCCTAACTTAAACAGCCCCCAAGTAGAGCCACCATTCTCTGTCACCTTGCCCTGCTATACTTTTCTTCAGCACTTAATAATTACTTATTGAGTATGTGAGTTCCAGGAGGGAAGAGATTTCACCTTGTTCATAGCTGATGAGTCCCCAAGCACCCAGGGCAGTGTCTGTGCCATGTTAGGAGCTTCATAATTATCCGCTGAATGAATGACCAAATGATTGCTTAACTTCTGTAAGGCTAGCTGCTGGAGTGAGGGAGACCTGAATGATAATCCCAGATCTGCTGCTTCCTAACTGTGTGAGCTTGGGCAGCACATCTGACCTTCCTATGCCTCAGTGTCTGCACCTGAAAAATGGGAACAATACTAGCCCCCAGGCTTGTTTTAAAAATAAAATAAGTCATGGCATGTGAAATATATAGCACAGTAAACACTCAACAAGTATTAACTACTTGTATTGCAAATGAGTGGGGGGGGGTCTGTTATATTTAAACTTTCTTGAAGTTCTATTCATTTTTTTAAGAGGGGTATAGGTTTTGGAGGATGTTGAGAATATGCTGATGATAGTTTATAAAATGTTCTGTTACATAAAAAATGTAAAAAGTGTACATGAATTCAGTCTAACACTGAAAAAGAACAAAACTCAAGAACTGTTAGCTCTATCTAAATTCCATTTTTTTGCATTCCCTGCTGTATTTTTAAATCATACCCACTACTTACATTTTGAATGTATGGATACAATTTTCAAGCCATCAGTTAAATAACAGACTGAGACAACAAAAATTCCTTCTGAAAGGATCAGTTTTATTAGTTCAGGGTATTATTTTAGGCTAAATATAAGTGAATGCCTTTATGGTTAAGATGATTTAAATTCATATTCAAGCTGGGCACAGTGACTTGTACCTGTAGCCCCACAGTCCCAGCTACTCAGGAGGCTGAGATGGGAGGATCACTTGAGCCCAGGAATTCGAGTCTACCCTGAGCAACACAGTGAGCCCCGTCTTTAAAAAAAAA